CAGTACCGCATCTAAACTTCCCTTAAACTCAGACAGGGATGGTGAGTCAACCCCCTCCCTGGGCAGCCTGTTCCAATGCCCGACCACTCTTTCAGTGAAAAATTCCTTCCTAATGTTCAATCTAAACCTCCCCTGTTGGAGCTTGAAGCCGTTCCCTCTCGTTCTATTGTTAATTACCTGTGAGAAGAGACCAGCACCAACCTCTCTACAGTGTCCTTTCAAGTAGTTGTAGAGAGTGATGAGGTCTCCCCTCAGCCTCCTCTTCCTCATACTAAACAGCCCCAGCTCCTTCAGCCGCTCTTCATATGATTTGTCTTCTAGGCCCTTCACTAGTTTTGTTGCCCTCCTCTGCACTCGCTCCAGCACAATAATTTATCTGCAGCCCGAAAGCAGAAGACAGAATGTTTGTGTTCCTTCCATCTCTGCTGACCTTTAGGCCAGCCTTGATGTTTTTGCAGTGACAAGGACCTGCTTGCAGTGACAAGGACCTGCTCCCCTGGGGGTTTCCAGATCCAGCGGTATTTGCAGGGCCCGTCTATCGCCTGCCCCCTGCTGGCACAGGGGGGGAATGACCGCCCTGCAGCCCTGCCCCAGCCACGGCAGGGGGCACAGGAGCCAGGCAACACGCAAAGACACGCGTGATCCATCTAGTGCCACACGTGGGCTCCCCGGGCGAGTTAAAGCCTCACCCTGAAACACTAGGGCTTTGGGAAGACCCCTGGGATCCTTCCCTTGAGCACACACTCACAGAAGCTCTGCCTTAGCCAACAGCCTGAGTCCTGTAGCCACCTCTGGGGGTTGTCCACACAGCCTGGCCACCAAGAGTGGCAACTCCTCACGGACAATCCCGGCGGCGCAGACGCAGATGGCACCAGAACTGACATTTCATAGAGGGAAGCCAAACCAGACAGAGGCAAAAACCCCGAGTCCCTGATGTTACTTCCTTCCCAGCTCGGGGCCTTGCCGCGCAGCAGATGTGACCTTTCTGAAGTCTCTCATGGCAAACCTGAGTCACTTTGATGCACTTCTAAGTCACAGGAGAATGTGAAGAGAAAAGACAGGAGATAAAGGATCTGGGGCAGCTGCGGTATCAGAAACCTGTCATTTCTTTCAGGGGAAAACCAAAAAAGACAAAGGAGGAAGTGAACATAAAAAGCAGAAACCTACGGATCTGTGGGTTGGGTGCTTTTTTTTTTTTTATTGTAACATCTACTGAAACACGAAATACGTCTGTTAACTGCCAAATCTGCAGGCTGAAAGGAGCGTTCAAGAACTGCAAAATCCACCTCATTTATATAATTTTGTTCCAACGTGTCTCTCAAATACCATCTGTTCTTGTCCTAATCCTTCTCCAAAACTGAATGCAGCAAAGCAATTAGCAAAACCAACCTCCATTTTAAACAAATAGCCTTATTAAAACTCCAGGCAGCCACACACGAGAGCCTCACATGTAAGAGAGGAAAAATACTGCAAATGGAAATCTCAAAGACAAGACAGGTTGGGTTTTTTGGTTTTCCTCCTATTTTTTGTAGCTATCTGACCTGACCTCTGCCTGTAGCTAATCACTAACAATATAAGGGACTGGCCACATGGTCTCTAACTCCTGACTAATGCAGTTGAAAAGTTGTTAAATGATTCATTTTCACCCAGAAATTAGTCAGTTTTACGCATGGTTCTTAAAACAACCAATAGGTCAAATTTTAGTGACAACATCCAAGCAGTTTTGCACGTGCACAACCAACTTCCTGAATCAGGGCTCCATGGCAACCGAGATGCATTTAATGTAAAAATCATATAGGTTTACCAAGTACTCTAATTGCCAGTAGAGTTCCCACTAAACCCAGAGTTAGCACTGGTTTGCAGAAAAAGAGCTGAAACCTCAGCTTACTGCACTACACTGGAAAAAATTTCCAGTCCAGCCCTATCTTTATCAGCTTAGATGAAGCCGCACAACTTTGGGTCTCTCTCAAGTGCCCAAAAACGGGGAAATCTGAATGTCTGAAAAACAGGAACTTACTTTGTGACACACGCTTGTACCTCTGAGAAGGGAAAGTTTCATTTCTGGCAGGTAGGAAGGCAAGCGTGGGCAGAAGGCAGCACCAATCTGTTCAAGATTTTCTGCCTATTTTTAACTACTTTCTGCCGTTTTAGGGAGGATTGGAAAAAAAAAAAAAAACCCAAACAAGTTTTTCACAGAAGAGTGACAAGACTGAAGATGACAATTAAAAAAAAATTGTTATTCCTTTATTTAGAGTGAAATATCTACATTAGTTTATTTAAACCGGCAGTCTACCAACACACAAACCCTCAAAAAAAAAAATAAAATCAAGTCATAAATGTCTCCAATCCTATCAAATGTTATTATGGTTTAACTCTTCTGGTAGGATTATACGTCCTGGCACGGAGACTGGATACAGTCCTACAGCAGCACAGCCAGCACAGACCAGCTCATAGGCAGGGATTTTCACAAAAAACAGCATTTCCAGCCTGGAAGGGCTCGGAATTACAGCCCTCCAGCCACACACCACACCCGATTGTGTGTCTTCAGTCTTCCAAAGAGCAAATACAACTTGTTCTCAGCTTCCCTGCTGGGCACTTCCAAGGCCAGTATCGGTTCCTTCTCCCAGCAGAGGGAAGCCATGCCCCCAGTTTGTGGGAAATCTCCTGCTGGGGAGGCTGCAGGAAGGCATGAGAACATGGTGAGTGTGCTCAGGCACCTTCCTGTGTGACAAGTAAGATTCGTGGAAAGAGCCCATGAGCCCACACCACAGAGGAGCTCGGCCGCCACAGCGGCATTTCTGCTGAGCCAACAGCTCATCCGCTCCCGAGGGCTGTGCTTTCACTGTGCAACCCCAACCCTGCCACAGCTCATAGTTATCTGCACCACGCTCAGCTGCATGGAAACACAGCACTTGCTTTAGTGCCTCTGCAGCACAGCCTACCACCTCGATAAGCATCGCTTCTGAGAATTTGTTGGGGGCTCCCTGGAATGCACTTCTCAGATTTATCACTTTGCCAGCCAGTTCCCCGCAAGATGACAGCATTTAGGCCACAGCACACTTCCAAAGACCTCCACATCTGAAGGGGCTGAGCCTCATCACCTTGACCATAGCCCAGCAACTCTCAGGTGAGAGCTGCTGCCCAGCCAGATTCACAGAGACAAACACCATCCACAGCCATCTCAAGCAGCAAGGCATGAAGTGAACTCAAAGCCAGCGACGCCACAGGATTGGCCATTTGGGGATCCTGCTCTCCGTGAGAATTACATGCACAAAAGAGCAACTTTTTGCTCATTTGTCCTCTGCAATCACACACATCATCCACACAGATCTAGCTGCTACCACCATTTATTTCAAAAAGTCACTAATCACACTTCGTATATAATACAAATATTTATATACATTGTATATGCACTTCAAAATAGGAAATCACTGCTAAGTACAACATATGTATAACATATAAGAAAACATATGTTTAAAAACATGTTTCTAGACACCAGTTGTATTCTTGAATACATTTCCTGTTGCATATTTGGGCATATGCTTTGGTATTGTGCTTATGAAATACCTATTGCTAATGAGTTATCTACTGAGGAGTTACATTTGAAGTGAAAAACACTTCCGAATTATGTAACCCCCAAGTTTTACTATTTCCTGAACTTTTACACTGAGGTATTTAAATGACATCAAAAGCTATTGACAGTAATACTTCAGGTTTCTCACAGACACTTCAGATTTGGGACTTGCCATCTAAAACTTGAACGCTTTCCAAAACTACAGACTGATGAACTTGTGGTAAAACGTTACAGAAGTAAAATTCATTTCACACAGTGCATGGGCAAAACCACCAGGCATTTTAACTGCACAGAAACCAAAATCAAAAACACTTCTTGAATGCAGATTCCACTGAGAGCACACACCAGGTGATCATCCCGACGAATGGTCAGAGCACATCTATCCACCGTTACGTGATCTTTGGATGCCTTTGCTAAAATGCAACCCCTGAAGGCCCAGAGAGTCAGCACTGTGTTAGGAGTTCAGCTCTTGCCTCTTATCAACAGAAAACATCTAAGAAGTTAAACCTTTCCAAACCATCACAAAATTGTCATTCAGCAGCAGAAAACCTCTGAATGTCTATGTACATGCTCCTAAACCTAAGACATAGACCTTGCCCAAAGCCAGAGCACTGCCTGGAACCAAACTTGCTTCTGGGTTTCTCCCTCTGTTCCAAGCAACCAAGTCCCACAAAAGTGGTTTAAGCTGAACAATTTGACTGTGGAGATGTCCAAGCTTCACCAAAGCAGCCTTGCTGATGATAGACACCAGGATGTCCACACAGTGTGTCAACTGCACAGGGCTTATAGAGAAAAGATTAGACAGACATGGCAAGTACTAAAGTTTACATTGCAGACGAGTGGCACTTTACCCCTATTTTGAAATACAGTTTCCACTAATAATGTTCTAATCAGAAATCACTGTTCCTTTTGCCTTCTGGCAATCCACATATTCTACTTTCCACACACATGATCTCCATGGAGATTTCCAAACACTTGGAGATCTGGAGCTACCTGGTGATCATGGGTAATTCCATTTTTGAGCCTGATAATGAGTAAAATGCTCAATATGTTCACATGACAATTTCTCAATGGATATGTTTGAAGAAATGCAGAAAAGTGAGAAGTGGCATTGAACAGCCATTTCTTAACAGCCACTAACCAGCCAGCAGCAGAATTCTGGTGCTGTTCTGGTACATGGCCAGTAGCAGAGTGACCAGCAGTGACCACTATCTCTGGAGGCCTGGCTCACACATGCCATTCAACTTGACCAAGAAGAAATAACTTGAAAAAAATGGAAGCACAAAGGGCACTGGTTCATCAAGGGAGATTCTCCACCTAAAGCGAGAAGAGTTCATTTGGGAACTAGACTGAAACACTGGGGACACCTGCACTGAGAAAAGAGAGACATGCTCTGCTTAGCAGCTCAGAATTGTAAGCCAAGACATAAACTCAGCCATAAAGCAAGTCTTTTGATTTCCCTGTTTTTCTGTCTGCTCAATGATCAGCTCTTACAGCTTCAGAGACACTTTCTTCAGCCCAAAGACAGGCCCATCACTATGAATTGGCTACAAATGCAAAAAGGACTATTAGGAACTCAGTCCTGGCGACAGGGATGCTGTGCACAGGATCTGCTGAAGAGAAAGAACCACATGATTCCAGCAAGAACATCTACTCCCACCAGCCCTAATGCCAAAGGGGCTGCCCAACGAGACCCAAAGCAACTGAAGTGCAATTAAACAGTTACACACATCCACATGCACAGCCACAGAATGCTCCCTCACATTACTTGTTACAATCAGTCGGCTCAGAAATGCAGGAAACAGTAACGTAACGTGGAGTCAGTTTTTGATAAGACTAGAATTGGAGTCAATTTGTTCTTCCTGGACAGGAAATCGACAGCTCCCTGCTCCTGAAAGACAAGAGAATAATAATAAAACATTTAAAAATACTGTACAGAGTAGAAAGGGCAGGAAAAGGGAAGACAGGGACTTTTCTAGTTTCAAAGATGACCATGGACCTGAATGACATTTGGGTCGGTGCTGGCCTTTCCAGCCAGTGCTAGGAAATACTAAGGGGACAGTGAAAATACACTTCCCCGTAGCTCTGTCAAGGGAACATGAGGCAGCTGTGACCTGATTCAAGAGCTGCCACTTAATTCTCACTACAGAGTTCAGCTCTTCTCAGTCAAACACTTCCTGTGTTTGCAGGTGACACTTCAAGACAGTTCACTTCTATTCGGGCAAAAAAGTTCACTGTCTTCTCTTTAAAAAACTGTTGATTCTGGATCCTCTCTGTACTGAATAGAATTCCCTGTACAAAATCATTACATCAATTTTGCAGGGCGTAAGGGAGGAAAAAGCTAGAAGGAGTTAAAGTTAGAGAAAGAGAGAGAATCCTTTCTGTACTGAATAGAATTCCCTGTACAAAATTATTACATCAATTTTGCAGGGCATAAGGGAGGAAAAAACTAGGAGGAGTTAGAGAAAGAGAGAGAATCCTGCATGGCAACAAGTAGGGGAATCTGTGCTCTGTAGGAATGCAAAACTTGAAACACTGTGACCTCCACTGCATCAGGACTAAATAGAGGATAAATCACTGGCATTAACTGCAGATGACACTGTGCTACTTAGTCAGGAACCCCTCGTAATGATTGAAACAATTATCACAGTTCAAATACAGGGCCCCAATTATTCTTTTCTGTACATTTTTACCCCTAAAAAGAAACTCACCTTGACGGGTTTTCCTCCTCTTGGTCTCTTTTTTGGCTGCTTGGATAATCAACAGGAGGATGGACATTCCACTCACCATGAGGAGTATCAGACAAATCAGGATAAGTGATAAAGACCCTGGAAGGAAAAATAGAATAATACACTAAAAAAGATGCACGGTTCTAGCTGGAGTTCCCATGGCTTTCCAGCTTCAAAAGAAGGAACCTACAACTCCAGAAGTACCCCTGAACCACAAAGTCTAGAAGCCCCAGCTGCCAGGCAAGAAGTCATCCTGTATGTGTCTTGCTGAAAGACTGTGTAAAATACAGATAAGGCTTCTGAGAATGAGTGTGATTTCATTCCCAATGAAATCAATTTCAGGTGAAAATTACTGACCAGCTCTAGTAAATAGAGACTAGACTTGGTTCTAGCCTCTCCTTACCCCAGTTGGTCTCTGTGGGGCTGTTTGTGTCTGTGCAAATGAAAGGGATCACGCTGGGTCTGGATGGTGAGAACGTTGCAGTCGACGTGTTGTTCTTGTGGTCAGTGGTGGAAAGACTGAGAGCAGGTGTTGCACCCTGAGAGGTGGCTGGCTGGGTGACATGGTGGCTGCAAACAGCATCAGCTGTTTTTGTCCCTGGTCGAAGGGTATTTTTCCCAAGAACGCTGCAACTACAGACGTAAAATAAATGAGTGCAGTGTTTCAAACAGTTGCACTATGACTCGATGTAATCTCCATGGAAAAAAAAATGAGTGAATATTACAATACTTTTTTTATCAATACAAACTCAGGCTTCACCTTTCCTAGGTTCCACAGCTATGTGAGGAACAACTAAGTGAATCAAAGTTATTACTGGAAAAAAACTGACATTCTGTTTTTCTCCACACCTGGGCACCTAACAGTCTTGAAGCACATCTGCATTTGGCAACCTTTTGCTACAGAAACAAAACATCCAGATCTTTAAAAAAACAAAAGGCTGAGAATACTGTTGTTGCTACAGGTGAAGAGAGAAAGGGTGGATGCTTACAAATCAGTACACACACTGATCAAGGCTACTGAGAGTCACGAGGAACACAGTTTCATTGCACCTACTGCAGGTTTACTCTACACACCGTGATTTAGGCATCAGAAGAGATAGAGATAAACCCAAAAATATAAGATAAACCCAACATGTTGCTTTGAACATGGTCAGTGATACATACTTGGTCCAAGGTTGGCAGTTTTCATTCCCTCCTGTGGAATAAAACCCTTCAGGACATGGTAAGCAGACTGGAAAAAAAGAAAGAGGGGGAATTTGAGTTCAGTTTGCAACATAACTGTATAACAGCTACACAGGAATTATACTAATAGCTTATACTAGTACAGCTTATAGAACATAACTGTATAACAGCTACACAGGAATTACACTAATAGCTTATACTAGTACAGCTTATACAGACCCAACAAAACTCACAGAGCCTCTAAAAACCATAGTCATTGAGTCAGAATAACACAACATGCTCAGAGGCTTGTTTTAAGTCTGCAATTGGCAAGGTTTGCTGTTTCCTCTACTGGCTAATTATGGATATTAACAAGGAGAGCATTAAGATTTCTGAACAGCTTGCACAACTGCCATTAACACTTGTGTGGAGACATCAGCATATTAACAAGGAGAGCATTAAGATTTCTGACAGCTCAGGTATCACACAGAAGAACAGCTTGACAGCTGCCATTAACGCTTGTGTGGAGACATCAGTGAGACAAACAACAACAGTTTTTACACAAGAAATAACAACCACTGTCTCACCTGAAGCGGAGGCAAGAGTTTGGAGAGTCTGACACACGCCCAACTTACCGCTTCGCAGGGGATGGCCAACGTCTGGCATGTAGCCTGCAGCACACATGCAAATTCTGTCAGAGGTCTTCTCACACTTCTTCACTTCCTTGCTCCCCTTCGCTGGCAACAAGAATCCAGGGCAAGCGAGAGACAAGAAAAAATATTAATTACTCAGTGCCTATCTGAAACAACTGCAGAGAGCAGAATTTATTAACAATTCTGAAGACACCAGTCTTCAGGCGGTGCAAGCCCACTTCCCTCTGAAGGCTCTACCATCAGAACCAACCAGGAGATACCAGCTACTGAAGTGATAACGACCAGTGTCCAGTGTTTGGACTTGGTCGTCAGCCTTCGAGGAGCACACAAAGGTATGAACACCGATCACCTCCCAAATTCCCATCAAGAAATGCCCCCAATAGAGCTGACTTACTAGTGTCACAGATGGTACAGCTCTTGCAGAAGCCGTGGTTGTGCTCACTATTAAAGTACTCATCTTGGCAGGGGGCACAGACTGTGTCTGTTGTTGCTGTGCAGCGGCTTCTCATTCTTTCACCTGAAACAAAGACCACATAGAAGTAGGAACTGATTGTTATCAGAACAAAATCCTCTTAATTGTCATGCATTAGAATGAAAGAGGGCCCAGAAAGCAACAGTTCCACTTACAACTCTGGCTGAAAACATTCAGAAGTACTCATCTTGGCAGGGGGCACAGACCGTGTCTGTTGTTGCTGTGCAGCGGCTTCTCATTCTTTCACCTGAAACAAAGACCACATAGAAGTAGGAACTGATTGTTATCAGAACAAAATCCTCTTAATTGTCATGCATTAGAATGAAAGAGGGCCCAGAAAGCAACAGTTCCACTTACAGCTCTGGCTGAAAACATTCAGATTTAGACATGGCAGAATCCCTAAAAGTTTTGACCCATAGCATCACTGTAAATTAAGCAGCTAAAATGGGCTACGAGGGGCCTGATGACTTGCTGAGCATTGAGGCAATGCACCAAACAATTCTCATAATGAATTCCAAATATGACTTCTCCAGACCACCTTTTCATAGGATTTAGACATCACAGTTTGCAGTCAGTAAGAGTCAGGAAAAAAGCAGGTTTTTAGCACAGCCATTATCTCTGGTGTAACACAATGGCTTTATGACAGATCCTGCTTTCCCTTATGAGATAGATCATGCAATTCAACCCGAAGTAATACCAAACAGGTACAAAAGATGGCAACAGACTTTTTTTTTTTTGCAGAAAATTCATGAGTGAAGCAGCCAAGAATAAATGTTCGCTGTACCTTCCTGTTGGCATCCTGAAAGCCCATCAGGCCTGAAAGAATGCAGTTAGATTTTGATCTGCATCCGTATCAGCGCCCAGCAACATCAAAGGTGGTACCAGCTCCGTTTCTCAAACAGTGAGACATGGCACAAGGTACAAGGTGGGCATTTGTTACCCTTCCATCACACGCTGCATTTGGAAATGAGCTCTGAATGCCTGCACCCACGTACTCCAGCCGATAAAATACATAGTGCTTCCAGAGAAGTTCAGATGGATGCACTGGGATGGCAAGGTCTGTGAGCAAAGCCACTCGCCCAAACTGAAACAGCAAGTTATCAGTGGGTTCTGGAAAAGGAGTCAGACACGTTCCTTTTATCTCCCAGCTTCCCTCCGCACAGCCCAGGCTGCAGGAACTAGAGAGGCAGCTTTAACAACCAGGGTTTTTACAGCTGAGCTTAAATCTCACAGACTTGTTTCTTTCATTTCAGTTCTCTATTTTCCCATTCTGTAGGGGAACAATGAGCACCAAGTCTCTTGCTCACTCTAATTTTCTCTGCATGTTATTAAGTGCTCTCCGTGGCAAAATACAGAAGATTTTTAGTGACCACAATATATGCAATACACTTCCACATTTTTACAGTCTAGACAATCAGGAAGAGATTAGGAAGAAATGTTTCCCCAACAGCAGCAGATTTGCTAACAATGCAAAAAACCTGCAAACAGTTGTTTCAGGATAAGGAAGAACAAAAAATTTTAGAGATGAAGGATGATCTTTATCTGCATACAAATATGCCTTTCTTTAAAGTTCAGAAACATTCAGATTTAAATAATTTTGAGAATAACGCAATAGACTGCCTCAAGTCTTACATGAAAGTTTGAATTTATTCCAATTAGCATGTTCAAAGATAATACTACTGCATCTGTTCATTCCACATCCATTTGGTGTGGATCACTTAAGAAAAGAGAAAGTAACTATTCTGAAAGATGCGCACAAAACCATACACAAGAGTTTAAGTTGCAACTGCATTTACAGACAGGATCTGCACTCCCTCTAGGCACATATAAGTACCCTTCTTTTAGTACAGTCAATATTGTATTGTACATTGTCATTATGTATTAAAAATACTCCCTTCTGACGAGGGGATTGCCCCTCGAACAGCAATATTACCTGTTAATTGTTGTTACTCTTCATCACTAAGTCATTTCTACATGAATGAAACCCCAGCTATTAAAGTATTTGAGGTTTGATAATTTGCATTTGCGCTTCTCAATATGGCATTGCCTTCAGAGAGATTCAGATTGTGAAAAAAAAAGACCATCACATGTGTGCAAAACTCAGAATTCAGACTCAATCAGTTCCTTCCTACAAGAAGAAAGGAGGAAACAAATACATTTCCTGTCAAGCTACACTTCGCTGATCTTTGTCTATTAATCAAGCAAATCCTTTTCCTTAATAAAACCACCAAGTCTTAAGTTGTACAAACCTTGCTACGGAAGAAAGCTCAACAAATCACCTTTAGAAAGAGAATTAATTACCTAAAGTTTTCCAGAAATACGCAAAATTTCTGAGCTTCTTTATGTGATAGCAGTGTTTATATTACTGTCCTTCACCTATCTTTTCTTAGCTAATATTCCCACAATGAAAATATACCAGACCAACATATTAAGAAAACTGAGCCACACAAAATAAACAATATGCAGCTCTTTCAAAGAGGATTCATAAATTTAGTATATCACAGAAATAATCTTTGTCAGTCTAGACTGATAGGAAAGTCTCTTCATCAAATGCTTTTTCTCCATTTTATGCTTCCATTTGAACGATAATTCCATCGACCTGTTTTCTACCACCTGTGGGTTATTAACTAATAGATATTACATCAAGCAAAGTATAACCAACATCCCATGAAAATTACTTACCAGGGGCACAGTCCTTGCAACATTTTTCACGGAAAAGATAGTGATGTTCTTTGCATTTCAATACCAAGGCATGGCTCACAGGGACTGCCAGCAGCAAGAACAAAGCAGTAGAAAAAGGCGAGTGAAAACCTACAGCTACCATAATGCAGCCCTGCTGCCCCAGCAAAACCTTGTCGGCGGCAAACTCTTGGAGAAGTGATTCTAAACTGCTGGTGATCAGAACATATGTCAGTTGCTGACACAGTCCCAGCACGTGCTCCACGCCCCCATCCTTTTTCCACACCCCACAAACCTACTTTTTTGGCAGTTTGCGACTGAAATATTCATAGGCAGAAAGGCAGCATGCTGGGGAGTGTTGTGAAGAGATTTCTATTCGTAGCCTTAAAACAGAGTGCCTCCAGGCAGGTACATACCTCTCTGCGTTGTATTACAGCACAGGCCTTGAGGGCCAGGAGAACTAGAAGAGATGATCCTTGTTACTGTAAAGAAAAGTATTAAAGCAACACAGAGGCAACCCCTGAAAACCTTTACGGACAAGAGCCATAGGTAAAATGAAACAGAGCCCAAACAGCCTTGCTTCTTAGAAGGAGAAGAACAGACAGATTCTCTCCCTTTGGTCCCATGGTAACAGCAGACCCGTGACTTTTATTGCTGCATAAAACCCAACCTTGTTAATACATTTCTCTTCGCAGGGAAAGTGCGGAATCAGAAATCACCAGTCATCTTGAGACTGCCCTCAGGAGCTCGCAAATGCTGCAGGCACGAAGCATCTGCAGTCTCCATTTCGACTCATAATACCAGATTCCCTCGCGCTGCCATTGAAGAAAAGTAAGATCATGACTCCAAAATAGAGACTTTGTGTTACCTCTACCATTTGCCCCCCTGGAAATAAAAGCTTCCAGCAGAGCTGGAAGCAAAGGAAAGCCAAGGATGCAACATTCACATACTAGCTGCTTTTGATGCCTATTTTGTTGTACAGAAGCACATTAACTCTGGAATCCAAACCCTCTGAAGGCTTCTCCCTCCAGCTGTCAGGAAGACAGAACAACAGGACAGCAAGGAGGCAGCTAAAGAGCACAATGGCATTGCAATGCTGCCCTCACCTAACACAGGCACGTGGAGCAGAGCAAGAAGTGGTCACACCAGGAATTAGTGGGGTTTAGCTTCCCAGGCTCAATATTAGAATTTTATTAATTTGATCTTACTGACTTAGGATGTAAATTTTAGGTCTTTTGGTTCGAAGGGACTTGAGCGTCTGTTATGCAAAGGCCCAAACAAACAAGACATCCTACAGCAATCAAAGCTGGTTTATTTGCATTAGTTAAAAACCATAGCCAGGCTTCCCAGCCAAGGCAGATCTACAGTCAATGAACATCTCAACAGAAGTACGTTGAGAATCCCAATCAGCCTGCAGTATTTGGGCAGACTGAACAGCAATACCTGGTGTAACTCAGCCAGAACTGCTGCTTCTCACTTCTTTCTGAGATTTCTGTTGTTTAGGAGCGAGAGGGGAGACAAAAGTGAGGCAAAACAGTAACTATTTTTCTACTTCTCCTATTTTCCAAGCATTTTGGAAAACAACCGCCACGGAAAAGAAGTTATACCTTAAAGCCAGTCTTGCCAAAAGGAAGCAAACCTGGCAGAGCGAGTCAATCACACCAGCTGAACTTCAACCACCTTCACACTCAGTACCTGCACACAGGAAACATCCACATCTCTTCCCTCTGCAGTATCACACTCGACGCCATTTAAGTAGCGTTCCACCTCCTGACTCAGTCGTTCCCTCAGAAATACTTAACCAGATTTCCCCCCCCCACCCCCCATTCTCTTTCACAAACAATAGAAGACTTTACATATTCAGTAAGACAATTATTATTCATTAAGAAACTGAAAATGCAAACTCCTGTGGTGTTCACAAAGTAAGATTAAAATTCTGATATATTCACGTAAACTGAATACTCCCCAAATATTGATAGTCTTGTTAAGGATACTTTAATACAAATTAAATGCTCTTTAAATAAAAGCAGTTAGCACACAAACCTCATATACCATCTTGAGAATTCAACTTTTGTGTATGGCATCCTTAAGATTTGCCAGGTTTCATACTGCCAGATTCCTCCACATGGCAATATTATACAAGGAAATAAAACAGGGAGAGAACACAGCGACTGTCCCACAGCATTTCACACCTTGCACACTCCTGGGCTGGATTTTCACCAACGCAGATTAACCTCTCCCAAATGCTGCTTGGCTTTGCCGTGGGGATCATGGGCTGTTCCCCCAAATCAGCCTGGATGCAGCTACTCTGGTTGTAGCAGGAGAGGGGAACTCCAGAGTGGTCAGTTGAGCCACACTATGGGTCAAAAATAAGACCCTGTTCTGCTTTTATGTAATATACATGTATCATTTTTGACTATAGATGCTTATCCTAGATATTCTACGGAAGTTTTTGAATTCTGGAAAGACAAAACATGTCCATGAGATAGTAGCACTCAGATACCAAGTCCTATTAACAGTAGGCAGATTGCTTGTGCATATTAAAACAATCCAAAAAACCAACCAACCAACCACTGAACTCAAAACTAGTGCTTAATAAAAGGCTTCAAAGAAAAAGTCACTAGAATCCTTAGGGATTACAGGCAAGTAAGAGTTCCCCTACAGGAAATGATCTACAAGAATTTAAGAAAGATTGAGCGCATACAAAGTACATGAAGAATTCTTTTAAATAAATAAATCTATGGACAAACTAGAACAGTTTGAACTTCTGAAATTCCAAGAAAGGAATAATCTTGTGTACCTCCAAATCTCACCACGCAGTCCACGTTATCCTTACAGCTGGTAGTTAGCACGCAATCCTGAATTCTGGCAGAGAAAACCAAAACACATTAAGGTGCAGAACTCCATGCATACATTAAAAATTAATTTTTTGCAGTTGTGCCTCAAGTTTCAGATTTATCAGTTTTGAGGCAAATACCACAACAACAGTACATACTTCAACATTTTTGCAGTTGGTAGCTAAATACTGTGTTACCTTGTGTTTTTCAAGGGGTTCCACACTCTCATTACCAGAAGATAAAACTAAGAGTGTGTATGCAAATCTTTGCCTCTGCTGATGATGAAGTCCCCAATTTCATCTTCATATTTCAGCTGCTCAGGCATCCTGCTGCAAACCAGCACTTGCTCTCTGGGCATCAGGTGTGACAAGACAGAACTTGTATCTGAATTGTGCAAACAACTAGAGTATAACACAAGAACGCAGTCAGGACATGTATATGATTATCAATTATTATTGCTAAAACTTCTGTCTTGACTAAATTGCCAACAACCACATTGCAAACCTGAATGTTTACACGTATAGTTTTGTGTCAGTTCAAAGTGCAGTTTGTTGCATGTTTAGGAAGCTTTAGTTAAAACAACAGCAAAGCAAAACCCAGACCTTTTGCCAATCAATCTAAACCAGCCGTACCCATGACTTCCCATCAAGCACCACACTTTTAGACACGGGGTTTTGTTTTGAACATCTTCAGATTCCAGCCATATTAAAATCTCCCCACGCTGCAATAAAGTAAACGTGGGGCGTTGGGAGGGGGTGGGAGCAGGGGCTGACTAATGGGGCAGATGTTCTAAACTGATTTTAACACAAGATTATCAACTGAATTTATGCCTTCCAGGTCTTTCAAAATCGTATTTTAATTTGTCTGTCCTCTGAAGAGTTTCAGTTTTTCCCCACACTGACAAACCTATAAACAGCAACGTTTCCAAAGCACGGAGAAAAATATTTAATGAAAAAAAAGGTATGTATATAAAAAGACTCTGATACAAGCCATTTAACAAAAACAAAAAAATAAAAAGGAGGGAGGGAATATTGGAACAGAACCAGACAGCAATACTTATATTTACATTATATTAAGAGAATAAATTTAATCAAATATAACATCTCACTTGGATTTTCAGGCAACCCTTCAGAAAGAGGGGTTTTTACAGTAAAGATGGAACCAGAGTAAAAATAAATTTTCTATTTTAGACAGTAGTGGATATGACCCTTCTGTTGCAAGATGTTTTCAGAGATTACCCAAAACCAGACTGATTAAAAAGCTTCCCAAGTGCTGACTGTACATTGCTCTGGCAAAAGCAGTAAAAAAGCAAAGCCTGTATTTCCCCAGCTTCATCACTCATGAATTCATGGGCATCATTAATTTGCTCAGAAGCAATTAATTAAACTCGTTTTAACAATGAATTTTAGTTAAGTAGTAATCACACCTCTAGGTGAATGACATTGTTGTCTCCAACGTATTGAAGTCCACAAAGAAACTTTCCCCATCGTTTCACTTTAGGATGAAATTTGATTTTTTTAAGACAAAAGCAATCTCAAGTCGCTCACATTCCCAGTGCAAACACAGAACCTGTCACACTATAAACAGTTTTCCTTTTAAAGTAGATGCAGAAGTTCTTCCCCACGGCCCCTAAATATAGTTCAGCGATGGAGAAAGAACTTGCATTTAATTCTCAACAATATATAAGTAGGTCGAGACACACTGAGAAAAATATTGGAAGATTCAGCCAATCAGTCTATGCAGGGATATTCTCCTGAGGTCAGAACACACGTATTTGAACCACGATCCCCCTTACAAAACCAAGTATCTTTCAGTGTTTTTTGTGATTTCCCTGGATCAGCAGCTATGAGGGCAACAACAAGAGTTAAATAATTAAGAAGCCTCCACCAAATATGATTGGCCCAAAGCAGCTGAAATTTCAGCTGGATTAACTGTACAAACCAGGGCAAACTGACATAGTCCAGCACATGCCCCCTTATTTATGGACCTTTTTTTTTTCCCCCCTTAAACCGAAGGCAACAGAGCTGTAGATCTTATGTATGGACGGAAGTTGTTTTTAATCTAGGACAACACACTGTAGGCATATAACAGATAGCAGCAAAGTAACTTTCTGTCTGTTTAGGGGTTGGGTTTTTTCCTTTTCTTTTTTTTTTTTTTTTTTTTTTTTTTTTTTTTTTTTTTTTTTTCTGTAAAGCAAGAAAGTGCTTCAGAGCTCTGGAAAAGCGAGCAGGATCAGAACTCCTCATGGACATTCCGTGCGTAGTCCATAAGCTTGCTGCCCGTGAAGTATTCACTGTATTTCAGGATCTCCTCCAGCTCCAAGTGATGGTTTTGATTTTCATCTGCTACTGCTATCATTTGCTTCGCCTCATTTAGCGCATTGTATTCATTCATAGGATCCATATATTCCTAAAACAAGAAAATAATTTTCAATCACTAAGCACATATCTCCACACATCAGAATTATGAACCTTAACTCTGTGTAAGCTTCAGCAATCATAAGACCAACATAAACCATCCCAAAGTGAAAGTAAGTCATGGAAAAAGCAGTTAGCACATCTTTTTAACAGGCTTACACGTCTCTCATAGCTATTTTTCTGTTCACTGCTCCCTTGGCTGTTCCAACACAAATCCAGATTTTCTCAGCTTATGCCAGTGCCTACAACGAAATATTTTTAACATTTTGGTTGCAAACTAAACTGACTATCAAATCTGGTGGGTTTCGTGAAGAAATATCAATTCAAAATTAAGAAGTGGCACACTAGCAATCTGTACAACCTAATTTTTTTCTTGTTTCTGGAGATAATCTTTTTATAACGTGTTCAATTTAGAACTTTCTTGTTCCCTTTCAAACCACCAGACAGACATTAGAGAAGTCAGAAGTCTCAGAAACAAAGCCTTTTGCTCCTTCACCTAAAATCCAGCTTCTCCTAGAAGATTTCAAGCAGTTCATGATGTAGAAGACTCAAGATTACCTTCAATTTCTTCCCAGAAGACATAAATGTGCATGCATCTGTGTGTGTGTATGTATACAAAGGCTTCACAAAGAAAACGGCTATTTTAAAAAGAAAATTCTCAGTAAAAAAGCTATTAACATTGTTTATGTCACAACAGAACTGTTTATCCATACTATTGCTATTGTTCATGCCCACATATTTGCATACTGAGAAGGGAAGTTGCAACATTCATCCTGACTCAGGGAAAAGGCCAACATTTTAGAGGTTCTCCTTACAGACTGCCTATGCTGCAGTTTGAATTCTGCTTGGCAAAGTATATTCTTATACCCAGAAATGAAAGAAAGCAAAAAAAATGAGCCACAAGCCTCTTCCATGGGCCACAAAACAGCCACAACTGTAGGGTGCAAAATATTTTATTTATTTGGTAGACTCTTCTGCAGACAGAATTATTAGAAGAAAGCCTTACTTCTGCAAACCAAAGGCCAATAAAGGCCACATACTAGAATCCACACTTGAAAAGATGTATTTGGGGTTTTTTTAAAGAGAAAAACATCCCGAAAGACAAGAGATCTCTGCTATTTTCTAGGCTATTGGGGTCCTGGGATTTGTTGGTCGTTGGGTTTTTTTGGTTTGTTTTATTTTAAATGAATATATAGGTTGCCAGTTACTCTTTTTGCAACTGAAAGTATGACTCATTGTCCCATTAACAAGTGCAGCTAATGCTGCCTGTGACTTGCTTTCATGCACTCCATATCCATACAAGTGTCTATGTGACAAAAAAAACCCCAAAACCATACCTATGAATAAGAGTTATGCAAGGAAAACTCCCCCTCCTCTTTAACAAAAAGCATAACAACATTATCTCCAAGCACTAGAGATCAATACTATGTTCCAAAGTTTTGTAAAATAGGCAGGTTGTACCATTAATTCAAATATTTTTGGCCTTCATATTCTCTAAAGTAGTTTCAATCCTGTATTTAAAAACCAACTCTTGGTTTTAAAAACACTGGAACTACCTATCTGAGGAGGACTTACCTCCAGCTCTTCCATTGTGACGATGCCATCATGGTTAGCATCGATGACCTCCTTAAATTCCTTCCTTCTGTCTTTTACCCAGTCATCATCAATATCTTGAGCTTGCTGGTTCTCTACAGTACCAACAGGTAATGAAATGAACTCTGACAGGGTAAGCTTCTTATCTCCGTCTTGATCTACAACAGAAGTACACAGTAACTGAGCAGTATTTGCTTAATGCCCATTAAAATGAGAAATTCCTTCGTGTCAGAGATGTCATTGATACAGTCCGCCTTGTTTCAGCAGATCTAGCAGAGCATTTATATCTTTGTCTCTAGCAGAGCATTTATATCTTTGGTTAGCCAAAAACTCTTGGGATTAGGGTACACACACAATGTTTTAGAAGGCTAAAAAACATACATTCATCAATATACTAAACAAAAAGAATTTTACTGACCTGAAGGACACATCAGGTGTCAAGCTGGGCTTTTTTTTGTTTTAAATTTTTTCAACAATCTACTGCAACAGAAATTTTCTTACAGCTGTATCCAGTCTCCCTTGTATTAGTATTCAGTAAATTAACCCTCATAAAAGACCGTGTGCTGAAGTTGTTCTGTCTGTGCATGTCACACTCAAGTATCACTGGAAATTCTTCATATTTAATAAGCTTACAATTAGCAAAGTCATAGTTATCTTTTTTTTAAATCCAGGTGTTGTAGCAGTTTTAAATAAGCACCACTGTTGACTCAATAGAAAAAAACAAAAACAACCCATATGGTGCCAATACTTATGAATTTAGAAAAAAGTATTATTATTTTCTTAGAAACCTCAACCATTTATTTCCACTTTCACGACTGTACGTCACAATCCTTACATGGCTGCTGTACTGGGGAAATACAAGACAATGAATGCCACTCTCACGGAACATTCCTATCAATATACTTTATAATATTTTACTATTCATCAAAGTTTTTCTATTATTTCTACAACGACCCTACAACGCAGCAGCACTTCAGTGTAAAGTACCATCAGCTATCTTCTTTGTATGAAGTACTCAGAGTATCATTCTAACATATAATATTGTGCTGTTTTTTAACAACCAGAGACTAAATTTAGTCTTAAGAGATGCACAGACAACTCCAGCGATGCCAGCATTTTTGCTAGCAGTTTGTTTTCCTTACTCATCACGTAGAAAATGTGTAGAGCAGAGCAAACAAGACGTGCCAAAATTTCATACTGATCCATGACAGTGCAGTGACCTAACAACATCTACCAAATTAAATGGTTTGCAAGTAAACAGCTCCCAAGAAACACGTTTTAAAATGGCATACCCAAATCTCGGATGATTTCTTTCACCATGAACTTCAGCATTCCCCTACTATGCTCTGGATGAAGAAAGGACAAGAATTCTTCTTCATTCAACAACAGATCAGGAGGTGGGTTGTCAGCTTGGTACCATCGATCCTTCAGGTTATCTAAAACTTCCTGGGCTAGAAATTTAAGAAAAAGATTTAAGCTATCGTGATCATTCTATTTAAAGTTCATAAAATATACCTTCCCATGTTACTCAATTGCTTAAACAAGGATGACCTATGAATCACTTATTTTACAGTTTAACTTCCAGGGAAAGCAGGTGCTGAGGGAAAACAAAGTGCAATTAGTGTCATCTAGTTTGTGCTGAAGCACTAGGAAAGATCCTTTAACCAAACAACTGAACTGAAATAGGGGATGAAAATAAAGATTTAGCTAAACTTGTATCAAAACTTCAACTTATCAAGTGAAAAGTATTGTCGCACCAGTATTGTTAGCTGGTTCTGGTAGGAGGTATGAATAATCCAACTTCATTCACTACTTGTTTTTCTCCTGTCTTATTTTCAGATTTTGAAGCCCACTACCTACAGAAACCTTTCATTTTCCCGAATACCAGTAGCATCTTTCTTCTGAATTAATCATTTCTCTTTCCTACATCAAAACAGTCCTGCACATTGAAACAGCCAAAACATTCTTCAAATTAAAAATATCCTTCAGATTCACTATCTCCATTATTGCAATTGTGACATCACACACCTGGTTAATAGCTATGAGAAAGGAAGATGGCAACCAATTCTTTTCCTATCAAAATAACCATAGAACAACAAACCCTTTAAACGTTGAGCATGCTTTCTTTTAAGATCAAATAACAAGACTATAATTAAGTCTAGAAAGATGCTTCTGATCTGGGAAGTACTGTTGTAGGAGTGCTTTAACTACCTGCACTACGTAGGTTTATTCTACTCTACAGCACTGAAGTTTACCACAGGTAAGAAAATATTCTTTGCCAAGCATCACCAAAGGGATACATTTTATTACTCCAACTTTACAACACAACTTTCTCTTATTTCTCTTATTGGGATTTCTTAACACAACATTATCTTAACCAAAACTAGTTGCATTATTGGTTTAAACTCTTTTTAGGCATGTTCAAGCTCACAGGATTTGAGTTAAGAAAATGGTACAGTGACCTACCCCAAAGTCATGATCGCATTAACTCATCTGCACACAATTTTAAGCACAGAGGTTCTTCTCCAGCCACACCACAATTCCAGACAGCACCCTCACTCTCCACAAAACTACATGTATGAATTAAGCTTAAGAATTGCATTAAACAAATTATAAAAAAGAAAAATCAAAGCCTAGTTTTTACAGTAATCAACAATATTATTTCAACAAACAGCTGCTCTTAACAAAGCATTTCACTGAAAAGGCAGCGTAAGCCAAGCCATAAAGCAGAGGAGTAGGAAAGCTATGAAGAGACTTCTGCTCTGCTTCTGCTCCTCCCTTCTTCTTTACCCCATCAAAGGTTCCAAATTTAAAAGAATCGCCCACCCTGAAAGATCTTATAACCTTAGATTCTGATACATCAGCCTAAAAATGTGATTTGTTGGCACGACGAGAAATTGAAGAGGGTAACTCTGCAAAAGAGAGTCTGGAAACATCAAAGACAGATGCTAAGTTAAGCACCAAGAAATGCACTTAGTTTTCAGTTACTTAAGGATGCAGGTACTTATTACTCCTTTTTGCTCCTGTGTCTATTCTGCATCAGAAAAAACTCTGACTTCAAACCTAAGCTCTGCATAGGCTTTAGCTATCACTTTAATAATAAAAAGAAATATTTTTGCTGCAAGCAGCAAATGCAAACTCAAGTACGAGCATAAAGTAGATACATCAGAACCAAAAATCACTTTACATTTCTACTTCTTTCATTTCATTTAATCTTACATCATGCAGACAAGCACTTTTAAAGTAAGTTTCTCTTAAACTCAACCGAGAATCATAATTTGTATAGGAGTTTCCACTAAAACCATGCATCTGATTTGAAGAAAAACCACCCTGCAACACACAATGTGAATATCATATGCACCTAGTGGTGCTGAACATAACCAAACAGGAAAAAAAATACCTGTGTAGAGCAATCGTTTTCTGGTGTAGGCATTTTCTAAATGACACACTGGAAAAAATACTGACTGCAGCACACCCTGCTATCTGCAAAACATACTAACAAACACAAATCTGAAGCATTTGCTTTTCACAAGCTCTCAAAACACTCTGAAGGACTATAGCCTTCAGATAAACTTTTTTTTAAATAAATTTAATAAACTGTCTTAAATAGCTCCTGCATGCTTTTGGTTGTTGAGTTACAAGGGAAAAAAACCAAACCCAACAATCACATCTACATTTTTGGAACTGCTAATTGCAATTAAAAGTTAAGTAATGTTTTTTTGTGAAAAGCAAAGAAATCCTTCACAGTCTTAATATGAATCTTAGGGCAAGTTTGCAAATGGCAAATTCTAGTTTTATCAAGGACACAAGTAAACGCAGAATAATCAAATCACTGACTTGTGGTTTTCCACTACAGCCAACCCCATATGTTAGAAATCACAAGTTGATCCCTTTTCCCACCTTACTTAGTCTTAAATGAAACTCAACTGTCATTATCTGCATAAGTTACATAAAGCTGCATCCCTAGTTTTGGCCTGGCACCCTAACTGTAGCGTGCTTCTGCGCAGAACTCAGAACATGCCTTAAGATCCACACATTCAGTTATTTTTCATTCTACAGACCGAAAAAGAGTAGTTTTATACTGCACTAGAGTATGAGAATAGGTTTTGCCTCTCATCTTCAGGAAGCGGTAGATAACTAATTTGATTTTCCCAAACAAGGCTTGTTACCTAGGCAGAAAAATGATTATGTACACACTTCCCTTATTCAGCAAATCTTATCTGATGAGCATTCCTGTAAACTGTAGTTAACCACACTGCCATAGAACGTGCTGCACAGGTGTTTTCCCTGCCATAAAATTCAAAGGCCTATTTGCATTTTAGTTGCTTTTTGATAAATGGAAAATATAACATAACCCACTTTTAAATGACTAATTCCTGCAAGGAAAGGCTAAGGCTTCATGTTTTACTTAACAGTAAATTTAAACACTTTTGGACGGGGGAGAGTGGGGAGATTACTCTGTTCAGAGTTGCCATGTCTCTAGCGAGCCAGATTTAAATGAAAGTTTCAAAAGTAACACGGAAGAAATTATTAGTCTCACTAATCTAAAGAATCAATCCGTCTCTATAGAGAGCTCAGATGAAACAACTGTTTGGCAACCTTCTGCTATTAATTTCCTGTACGCTCTGCAGTGCCTGAGCACACACCTATTTAACCACTGCACTGTTTGGTACCACATGCAGCCCTCCCTCATTTTAGAACAGAAATCATATAAAGCAGCTCCCTTTCTTTTGAGGTAACATGGGACCCAGTTCCCACATTAACAATATGATGGTCCACAGACAACACAGGTCTGACAAGTTTCAGCAGACTGTTAAACATAAATAAATGAAAACTACTCAAATAGGCAGTAACAAATAAGGAACTGAAATTTTTCACTCTTCAATATCCACATCAAGAGTGCTGGGGAAGGCAGATCTGCATTGGAAAGAAATCCAGTAATTCTGTCTTACAACTTACATATTCTACACTTGTGTAGAGGCAGAAGAACAACTAAAACATTCATCTCATATTAAGAATAGCTTTGACATTCAGATTTTAGGAAAGTAAAAGAAAAAACGACATGCACGAGCAGTCTGCACTTACTTTCTTCATCTATTTTCAGCTCTTCATTGTTTTTTATCTTCTCTGCGATCTCCTTTTCATTAAAGCCCTTACTTGCCAAAAATTTAATTTTATATTCATCCCAGGACACATGGCCTGTAAGAAAGAGCTGTATCTCAGACATGACATGGTATGCTTAAATGACAAACTTTTGGTCTCATTATTTAGAACAGTAAGTTTTTGATTCAGCGCTATAATCATCATGCTGAGCTTTACGAATGGCAATATGAAAACTGTCACTTGATTCACTTTTATGCCTTAAAATAACCTCTTTATGTCACCATCCTCATCCCATCCCTGGCAGAGCCACTTGTTACAATTTCCTATGGTCACAAGTGAAATAACATAGGATTCAACACAGAACTACAATGCTGACTGGAGCACATCAATTATTTGCTCTATTGTCTGCTGTATGGATCAAAACTCTAACACAGAACTACAATGCTGACTGGAGCACACCAATTATTTGCTCATTGCTGTATGGATCAAAACTGCGATTACATTGTAATTACGTGCAGCGCAAAGGGACTTGGATTTTATCACAGCGGATCTGAAGAGCAGCCCGTAGGTTTGGCTGCTACCAATTGCCTTAAGATGTCATCAGGAGATGAAGGAATCATTCATCTTACCATCACCATCAGGGTCCACAGCTCGGAAGTGCATTTTATTCTCTTCCACAGCTTCCTGAAAATGTTCATCTGTCTTTTCCATGATCCAGCGCTGCATCTCCTTTGCACTTATCTTCTTATCATTATTTATATCCACCCTATGGATGAATAGCAAACAACATTTAGATTTGGGGACTGGGGGAAGGTTTTGATACCTTAACCTCTGGAGCTGGGATACCCTGATCTCTGTTAACACATTACAGCTGATGGTTTTTAATTCTGAACACATTTAAAAGTTCTGCACATACATTTGTTCCCAATTAGGTTTGCTTGCCTAAAATTATCATTAAACATCCGATCTGACAATCCACTGTTCTCCTTAATGTACTGCCAATACTGCTTTATTGTACTAAGATACACTGCCACACCACCAATTCCATTAATGTTTATTTCATTAAAAAGAAGTTAATATAAAAATTACAGTTGAAGAAAAAATACAAAACCCAATAATATGCAACTTGAAGGTTTTTGGAGCACATCGCTAAGTATTTACTCAAAACAGATATAGCAATATTTCAAACTGAAAAGGCATCACTAACATTTAGAAGGCAAGCTTCTATTTAAAACATACCAAAACCACTCTGGCTGAATTTAAAAAAGGCAACAACAACAACAAAAAAAACACAACAAAAAACCCCCGCTTGACTTGGCTTTTTTTATCTTTTTGTATTTTTGGAGCACATCGCTAAGTATTTACTCAAAACAGATATAGCAATATTTCAAACTGAAAAGGCATCACTAACATTTAGAAGGCAAGCTTCTATTTAAAACATACCAAAACCACTCTGGCTGAATTTAAAAAAGGCAACAACAACAAAAAAAAACACAACAAAAAACCCCTGCTTGACTTTGGCTTTTTTTATCTGTTTGTATCAGGACTGAAGTGTTATTGAAACTCAAGTTATAAAATACGTGATTTGCCTTTAAATGTCAACTAAATGTTAAAAGCTTAAGCCAAATAACAACCCTAGCACCTAATCTTCTACAACACTTAATAAATGCAGTATTAGTGGTTTTAAATGTTGTATCACGTCTTTCCAGACACATATGCACAGGCTCAGCATTCACAACTTTTCAGTATCAATGGCAACACCAGTAAAATAGTAAAATGGTCTCGTTCGCCTCGTGCCACCTCACACTTACCAGGTGAACAAATGTGGGTTTTGAGAAGGAATAGGTACTACCAAAAATGAGAAGGGAAAACAAAGCATTTTCCCCTCAACATTTAACATTGTAGTTTCCTTAGATCAAAGCTATCAAAGTTACTACACCCAAGCCGTACTTTCCACCTAAATCACATTGTAACTAAGGAGAAAGGTAACAAAAATCCCATTTATTGCTCTTTTAGCTCAGGAAAAGTACACCTTTGTGTTGCTACCACAGCTCACAAGAAGTCTCCAATGGCTCAGGTTTTCAAGAACTAGCAGGCACCCACCATACAAGGTGAGCTGAAATCCTTTCAGGGTCCATAAACAGCACCTCTGCTTTTCACAGGAATATTTATAACTCTATGAAATATACGATACAGTCCTGCCACGAGGTTACTATCTAAGGCAATAAACACCATAAAGACACTTGATTGCTTTCAATATCCTTCCTCCTTCCCTCCCATCAACATCCACCTACACAAGCTAAACTATACCACACAGCAAAAGAATTTTTTATAGATTCCAGGCTAATTTTAACTATTTAAACAGAGACTACAGTAAGTGGTTTTTGGCAATCAGGAGAAATACAAGAAGAAAGACTGTCAAGTAAGTTCACTCAGGATTTCCAGCCCCAATTTCACAGGGAAAAGTGAAATTACAGTTAACTTGTAAAAAAACTTTTCTGTAGACAATTAGGCTTGTCCTCCCAGTAAAGAGTGATGTCAGAAACTGAAATACAGAACTATGAAATACCATCTGTCCTTTCAGTCACAGATAGCTCCTAGAAAAAAACATGGTTTGGGGAACTTTACTTCCATGTTTCAGCTTTATTTTCAGTAGACAGTAATGTATGCTTTGAACCGACTGCTTTATATCATACTGACACGCCACGTTAACTATTTAAACAGAGACTACAGTAAGTGTTTTTTGGCAATCAGGAGAAGTACAAGAAGAAAGGATGTCAAGTAAGTTCACCCAGGATTTCCAGCCCCAATTTCACAGGGAAAAGTGAAATTACAGTTAACTTGTAAAAAAACTTTTCTGTAGACAATTAGGCTTGTCCTCCCAGTAAAGAGTGATGTCAGAAACTGAAATACAGAACTATGAAATACCATCTGTCCTTTCAGTCACAGATAGCTCCTAGAAAAAAACATGGTTTGGGGAACTTTACTTCCATGTTTCAGCTTTATTTTCAGTAGACAGTAATGTATGCTTTGAACCGACTGCTTTATATCATACTGACACGCCACGGAATCTCATCTGTCATTAATTAAAAACACACTGTGTGTTTTCTTTGTGTCTTCAAAGAAAATATTTGCAAAGCAGCTGGAAGCCTGTAATTTACGAGGTTCTCACAGAAGTTCATAGACTTGTTACAATTTCCTATGGTCACAAGTGAAATAACATAGGATTCAACACAGAACTACAATGCTGACTGGAGCACATCAATTATTTGCTCTATTGTCTGCTGTATGGATCAAAACTCTGATTACATTGTAATTACGTGCAGCGCAAAGGGACTTGGATTTTATCACAGCGGATCTGAAGAGCAGCCCATAGGTTTGGCTGCTACCAATTGCCTTAAGATGTCATCAGGAGATGAAGGAATCATTCATCTTACCATCACCATCAGGGTCCACAGCTCGGAAGTGCATTTTATTCTCTTCCACAGCTTCCTGAAAATGTTCATCTGTCTTTTCCATGATCCAGCGCTGCATCTCCTTTGCACTTATCTTCTTATCATTATTTATATCCACCCTATGGATGAATAGCAAACAACATTTAGATTTGGGGACTGGGGGAAGGTTTTGATACCTTAACCTCTGGAGCTGGGATACCCTGATCTCTGTTAACACATTACAGCTGATGGTTTTTAATTCTGAACACATTTAAAAGTTCTGCACATACATTTGTTCCCAATTAGGTTTGCTTGCCTAAAATTATCATTAAACGTCCGATCTGACAATCCACTGTTCTCCTTAATGTACTGCTTTATTGTACTAAGATACACTGCCACACCACCAATTCCATTAATGTTTATTTCATTAAAAAGAAGTTAATATAAAAATTACAGTTGAAGAAAAAATACAAAAACCAATAATATGCAACTTGAAGATTTTTGGAGCACATCGCTAAGTATTTACTCAAAACAGATATAGCAATATTTCAAACTGAAAAGGCATCACTAACATTTAGAAGGCAAGCTTCTATTTAAAACATACCAAAACCACTCTGGCTGAATTTAAAAAAGGCAACAACAACAACAAAAAAAACACAACAAAAAACCCCCGCTTGACTTGGCTTTTTTTATCTTTTTGTATCAGGACTGAAGTGTTATTGAAACTCAAGTTATAAAATACGTGATTTGCCTTTAAATGTCAACTAAATGTTAAAAGCTTAAGCCAAATAACAACCCTAGCACCTAATCTTCTACAACACTTAATAAATGCAGTATTAGTGGTTTTAAATGTTGTATCACGTCTTTCCAGACACATATGCACAGGCTCAGCATTCACAACTTTTCAGTATCAATGGCAACACCAGTAAAATAGTAAAATGGTCTCGTTCGCCTCGTGCCACCTCGCACTTACCAGGTGAACAAATGTGGGTTTTGAGAAGGAATAGGTACTACCAAAAATGAGAAGGGAAAACAAAGCATTTTCCCCTCAACATTTAACATTGTAGTTTCCTTAGATCAAAGCTATCAAAGTTACTACACCCAAGCCGTACTTTTCACCTAAATCACATTGTAACTATGGAGAAAGGTAACAAAAATCCCATTTATTGCTCTTTTAGCTCAGGAAAAGTACACCTTTGTGTTGCTACCAAATCTCACAAGAAGTCTCCAACGGCTCAGGTTTTCAAGAACTAGCAGGCACCCACCATACAAGGTGAGCTGAAATCCTTTCAGGGTCCATAAATAGCACCTCTGCTTTTCACAGGAATATTTATAACTCTATGAAATATACGATACAGTCCTGCCACGAGGTTACTATCTAAGGCAATAAACACCATAAAGACACTTGATTGCTTTCAATATCCTTCCTCCTTCCCTCCCATCAACATCCACCTACACAAGCTAAACTATACCACACAGCAAAAGAATTTTTTATAGATTCCAGGCTAATTTTAACTATTTAAACAGAGACTACAGTAAGTGTTTTTTGGCAATCAGGAGAAGTACAAGAAGAAAGGATGTCAAGTAAGTTCACCCAGGATTTCCAGCCCCAATTTCACAGGGAAAAGTGAAATTACAGTTAACTTGTAAAAAAACTTTTCTGTAGACAAGTTAGGCTTGTCCTCCCAGTAAAGAGTCATGTCAGAAACTGAAATACTGAACTATGAAATACCATCTGTTCTTTCAGTCACAGATAGCTCCTAGAAAAAAAAAAAAACATGGTTTGGGGAACTTTACTTCCATGTTTCAGCTTTATTTTCAGTAGACAGTAATGTATGCTTTGAACTGACTGCTTTATATCACACTGACATGCCACAGAATCTCATCTGTCATTAATTAAAAACACACTGTGTGTTTTCTTTGTGTCTTCAAAGAAAATATTTGCAAAGCAGCTGGAAGCCTGTAATTTACGAGGTTCTCACAGAAGTTCATAGTATTGCTCTTTTCATCAACCTTTAAGAGTATCTCTAGAAAGCAACTACATTCCTCAGAATGCTTTTCTACATTTCTAATCCGATCATCTGACAGGACACAATTCTAAGCATCTGAGCAAAGTTGATCTTGAATCCGATTGCTTTAAGCTTCCTAAAACTACCTCTTTCATAACAAGCAGGCAGCAATGAACGGAGTTTGCAATTTGTGAATGACAAGTTACTAACCACCTGCTGAATCTTCTCAATGAACACACAGCAATAAAGAAAATGAAACCTTCTAAGCACCACGTTAATATTTGTATATATCCTACCAATGAAGTGAGTGGTCTGAATAGTAGACATAATAATAAGATCCTACTCTAAATGAAACAGGCACCCTGGTTTGCCTAATTACTTAAGCTGCCTTTTATTCAAGAGAACACCAGAAGAAAAATCCAATGCTATTAACGGATTTTTTTCTCCCGTTAATGAAAAGTTTGCAGAAAAAAAGCACTTCATCAAGCCTTCTCATTTTATCTCAAGTATATGTGCATCCTCACGCCACCATCAGCTTTAATAGCACCAATGTAATTTAAGCTGTTCTAATAAAATTAATTCTTCACTGCAAAAATGCAACTAAAGTCAATTCTGCCACCTAGTGTCTAACGGCACGCACTGAGTTTGAGCCTTTTGTTTACTGACATCTTGACTGCTTATTAGCTGACACAAACCTTATTTAGCACAAGAACTGCTTTATAAAAGGGAAAAACACTCCTGAGAATGGTTTATACAGGTATATTAGTACCTTAATGATATGAACACAGTATATAGTATGATGCTTTCCCCCTCATCATTACAATTTTTAATTATAGAAAAAAATTGCTAATTTTACTCGGAAGAGCAGAGAAAGAAGCTGCACTGTTCTTGGCAATAACTTACTTTGAGAAGATGACCATGAGCTTCTTCCTATTTTTTCTGGGTTCTGAATCTTCCTCGAACTCTTCCATCTCTTTTCCTAGAAAAACTTCTTGATGAAATTCTTTGTTCAGATGTCCATCCATCTCCATTTTGACCCCATTCAAGTGATCTGGGGGCAATATCTCATTCTCGTCTTTACTGTCAGCTGGCTTTTCTTTGAGGGCTGAATTATTTGCAGGCCTTGCATAAACATCCATTAGAAGAAATACAAACAGAAGGGACAAATACAGAGATCCCAAACTGCAGAGAAAGGCCTGCCTTGACATCATTTTTTCCTTTTTATTCAAAGTATCAGCTGTTTATATTATTGTGAAGGGATTAAATGATCTAAAAACAAAAAGGAAAAAATACAAGCAAATTAAACTCTAGAATATTATGTCATTAATAAAACATCTCCTAAAATTCAGAAGAACCTACACGCACAAGTATTTCTATGAAAGAATAAAAAACCCTGTTAAATACACAACACGAAATTAAACTGCGTCAGTTTTCAGTCTCCACAATTGTAACCTCTGTCAGAGGACTCTGGAAGACAACATCCTTCAAATGGCCTAGTTCTGCTCCGAAAACCTTCAGATGTTATAGCATGAGCTGACCTGACAATTGAAACCCAAACATTCACTGAGAAGCCAGCCCAGTGCACAGAGCACTGACTGTCCCCTCACGCAGCCCAAGCTCAGCGGTGCCAATGCCCCTCACATAGCACTGCACTTCCCAGCAAGATGCACAAACAGCTATGACAACACAACAGATCACAGAATGGTTCTGGTTGGAAGGGACCTTAAAGATCATCAAGTTCCAACCCCCCTGCCCTGGGCAGGGACACCTCCCACAACAACCTGGGACAACCTGGGCCAGGCTCTCACCACCCTCACACCAAAGAATTTCTTCCAGTTTACCACAGATCTCAGATCCCCTCTTTAGAAAGGCTGAAAGACATAAAGGTCTTTTGGGGAAGAGATGACTGAGGGAAATATGAATACAAATATCACCACATAAAGTGGAGCTGGCAACACACAGGAAACAGCCGGCAGGAAAAGCAACCCCGGGGGCAGACCTGTCATGACCTGCTTGAAAATAGCTGCCACAAACAAGCTTGAGGGGACAGGAGAAAGGACCACAGCCTAACAGGAACAGCACCGAGGAGCACAGAATCTACAGTTCTGTGAGGCACAGCAGAGCCTTGGGAAGGGAGTACCCACAGCAGGACTAACAGAGAGACAACCACCAACAGAGTGGGTGAGCCCAGCCCAACTCGAATCATAGAATGCTTTAGACTGGTAAGGATCTTCAACACTATCTAGTTCCAACCCCCTGCCCTGGGGGGTTGGAACTCCCTGGTCTCCCACCAGACCAGGTTGCTCCAAGCCCCCTCCAACCTGGCCTTGAACCCCTCCAGAGATGGGGCAGCCACACCTTCTCTGGGCAACCCGGGCCAGGCTATCACCACCCTCACAGCAAAGAATTTCGTCCTAACATCCAATGTAAATCTCCCCTCTTTCAGTTTGAAGCCACTAAGCCTCGTCCTATCACTACACGCCCTTGCAAAAAGCCCCTCTCCAGCTTTCTTGTAGCCTCCCTAAAGGAACAGTGACGGTCCCGACCCTGCTCCAGGCTGGACCACATACACTCACCGACAGCTCCGGCTGCCCCTTCTTCCCTGCAGCCTCCGAGAACCGTGACAGGGGGCGGGAATCCCCCCTCAGCCCCGCTGCCCCTCGCTCCCCGTGCGGCCCCCTCACAGAAGGAGGACCCCGGCCCCGCTCCCGCCCCACAGAGACGGGCGGAGGAAGTTCGTCAGAACGCAGTGCGCCCGTGAGGGGCGGGCAGCCGCCATCTTGGAGTAGGGCAGCAGCGCGCCCTCTGGTGCTGGCGGCCGCCATTTTCCCTCACGGCGGGGCCCGGCGGTTGCGGAGGGGCGGTGAAGGGGGAAGGCGGACCTCGGGGTGCTCCAAATCTGAACGTAGTTTCCTACGTGTTCTTCCTTACCTCAATTTATAATAAAGCAGACCACCTTCAAGCGGGAAGGGAATCTTTTTAATTCCCTGTCAGGCCCCTTTTCCTGGCTATACGTACATCTGTAGCTTTGTGCTTATTCGTCTGTTTTGCTCGGGAGTCCTTAAAACAGCCAGCAATCCGTATGAAACCAGAGACAGCAGGTAGCTAGTTAACACACGACTACTTCCACCAGACTACCTGCTCCCAGCGAGGCGGCACCGCAGCGTCCATCCCCAATGGGAAGCGCAGCCCGCCGGGACTGAAACCGCCCTTCCCCTCAGCCCCAACAACGCCCGCAACCAAAATGGCTGCGCCTCAGCCTTCCCCTCACCCCCAACAACGCCCGCAACCAAAATGGCGGCGCCTCAGCCTCGCCTGCCCGCTTGTAAGATGGCGGCCGCCAGGCGCCGCCGTCAGGTGATGCGGGGCGCGGCCCCGCCTCCTACCGCTTCTCCCACAAGGCAGGCGGCGAGGGGAGCGGCGGCCCTCACCGGGTGGGCAGCGACGGGGCCGATCCTCCTCCCGGCCCGAGCCGCCGCTTCCCCGAGGAGACGGGAGAAGGAGACATGAAGCCACCTCTGAGGGACGGCGAAGCGCGGTGAGGGCTCCCACCGGCATCTTGTCCCCTCCCGGCGGCCGTAAGGCCGTTCCCGCCGAAATAAACCTTCAGGGCGGCGGGGGGCTCCGGCCGGGGCCGGTTCGCCCCGTCGAGGCCCCGCGGCCATGAAGCTGCTGCGCCTGCTGTGCCGCCACAAGACGGCCCTGGGCCTGGGCGGCCTGTCGCTCTTCGCTGTGGTCCTGCTTTACCTGGCCAAGTGCACCTCTGAGGGGCTCCGGCCACTGCCAGCCCCCCGCGGGCTCCCACACAACCAGCCGGCCGCCCTGCCGCCACGGGGTGCCAGGGGGCTGCAGCCCCCCGCCGCCCCACCGTCTTCCCCTGAGGAGACCGCCTTCTTGGCCGTACTCATCACCAGCGGCCCCAAGTACAGCGAGCGTCGCAGCATCATCCGCAGCACGTGGCTGTCGGCCGCCGGGCGTCCCCCTCACGATGACATCTGGAGCCGCTTCGTCATCGGCACGGCAGGGCTCGGGGCAGAGGAGCTGCATAGCCTGGAGCTGGAGCAGAGCCGCCACAGAGACCTCCTCCTGCTGCCAGAGCTGAGGGATTCCTACGAGAACCTGACGGCGAAAGTCCTGGCCACCTACGTCTGGCTGGATCTGCACCTGGACTTCCAGTTTGCCCTGAAGGCCGACGACGATACCTTCGTGCGTTTGGATGTGCTGGTGGAAGAGCTGAGAGCCAAGGAGCCACGTCGCCTCTACTGGGGCTTCTTCTCTGGCCGTGGCCGGGTGAAATCTGGCGGCAAATGGAAAGAGAGCGCCTGGGTGCTCTGTGACTATTACCTGCCATATGCTCTGGGGGGTGGTTATGTGATTTCTGCGGATCTGGTGCACTACTTGCGTCTTAGCAGAGACTACCTGAACATGTGGCAGAGTGAAGATGTCTCCCTGGGGGTTTGGTTGGCTCCCATCGATGTGAAGAGAGTGCACGATCCTCGTTTTGACACTGAGTATAAGTCCCGGGGCTGCAACAATAAGTACATAGTAACTCACAAGCAGAGCATCGAGGACATGCTGGAAAAGCACCAGACCCTGGCTAAGGAAGGAAAGCTCTGTAAGGAGGAGGTTAAGCTCAGGCTTTCCTACATGTATGATTGGGGAGTGCCTCCTTCACAGTGTTGCCAGAGGAAGGATGGCATCCCGTGAAAGTCTGAGGAAGGAAAAGGCAGAATGTTGATGGACTCCCCGAGCTTGGTTGCTGTTAACTTGGGGAGGAAAAAAAAATCCCAGTAACTAGGGCTTAAAAATTACTCAAAAGATTTTGCACGATTCATTACGTCACGATCAATGAAACCCTGAAACTGCTAAGAGCTACTGGTGTGGCGTGGTGCAGAGATGGTTAAAAAGAAATAGATGACAAAAAGCCTGGAAAGGCTCATACGACAGGATTGAAGGCAAATAATAGGCTGAAAAAATAGTACAGCAAATTTGGGGGAGATAACTTGGATGAAAAGTTGCTGGAAGATTTTTAACAGACCCTAAGATTTATTTGCTAAAGATCGTGACAGGCCTTTGCGTTATCTCTAAGATTGTGAAGCTGGCATCTGCTGTTTATTTCTTGGCAAGGAACAAGTGTCAGTTTGGCAAGGTTTGGAGATTTTAATGGAGCCGCAAATCAGTTGCTAATGCCAGTGGGAGCAGGTGGCTGGTTATTGACACAAGCAGTCAAGTGAAGGGAACAGTTTTACCTGGGATGTTCCTCTTAGGGGAGGAAGAGAGAGTCTATTCTTTGGCAAGTGCTCTGATTTACAGGAATAGAATTATTAGACCTTGTGTGTAACTTGTCTCTAAGGTTTTTTGTTGTTTTAAAGACATCTTGTACATAAATTACCTGGCAGCTATGGGGTAAGTCTATATATAGACAGGTGGGTGAGTGATGGTATTTGGCAGATATAGAATATATTACCTTCTTTTGGGGGCAAATAGTTGTGCTATGAAGCTAGCCTTCAGTTGTTAGGCATAGGTGTTGTTCTCAGCTTATCCTCCAAGCACACTGTGTACGAGGAAACATTTCCCCTCCCAACAGTAAGTAATCTCACTGACTACTATAAAGTCTTCAGATTTATATTGTTCTGGATTACTTCTGTAAAACGTAAATTTGGAAAATTAGATTGGTGGAAGCTATTTGGAGTTCAAACAAGATCACCCTAACATGGGTACCTCAGCTAAGAAAGTAAACTCTGTTTGTAATCAAGATAAATAGGTTCCCCCAGCCCCAGATTCCTATTTTAGGAGATCCTGGCCTCTGTTCAGGAGCAACATTGCAATCTAAGGAGACTAATCCCCCAACAGTTTAGATGCCCAAAGCTAGGCTGTGTGGATTCCCTCCTTCTCTCCAATAACACCTTAGAGGGGAACTAACAATAATTTTAGGAGGTCTAAGTTAATTGCTCAAGTGATAATGTCGGTAAGTGGGATTATATCCCTTAGTCCTGTCTATGCTACAAATAATTCTAGTACTGACAGAGCTTGTCAGCACCAGATGCAGCAGTGAACAGTAAAAGCAGACAGGACATTCTTGGCTGTAGAACAGATCACTTACACTACTTCACCATGTTACTTATCTTCAGACTTTTAGGTAAGCCTGTAATTCAAGCATTTTTGAATGGCAGGTGCTCTAAAATACCTAAATACTACTTTTTTTTTCCAGTACTAGTACAGAGCTGCTGACTTTCAGTAACCTTTGTCAGCAACAGATCTTTCAGTATAAGCAGAATTTTACTTTTATGCCTGAAGGGCATTCGTAATTATCAGTTTTACTGTTTGTTGCACACTGCACTTTCATACAATTTCATTTCCTCCCGAGTTCAGTGTCTGTTCTCACCTGCAGGAAAAGACAAACTGCAAAGGAAAATTAAAGGGTGCCAATGTCTCTGTATTTTTCCTTCTTAAATTAGCAAGTTAGCAATTCATACCAAATGAATCAGGGTTTTTTTGTTTGTTTTTCTCTTGTTTTGATTAAATTATTGAGGATTAAGAAAAAAATCTGCAGAGGATGATAATTCTCCGTTTTGAAAATTTGAACAAATCTTTGACTTTCTTCTAAAACAAAGTTAAATTAAAATACTGAAGAAAAAAAAGAAGTTACTTTAGCATATGTCCATTCTAATGCATGCTTATGTATTGACAGATAGGCAGCTGTTCTTTTCAGCAAGGTGTACTATTCCAAAACAAGAATTTAACAAGATTACAGGAAATTTGAATCGGCTTTAGCATTTAAAAAAATCCAAACATCTATTTGCTATTTGGGGTTCACTAGTGTTGTATGTATATGTGTGATTAAATGCTTGTAATGTGAGTATTTATTTATAATTCTTGAAAATGTATTATGTATAGGAAAAATAAGATAGTTAAATGTCATTGAAATTTGTTTAAGAAGGTACTGTAACGTTTTACATATCAAGCAGTGCTTGAATTTATTGCTGTACAAGCCATTATTTAAAGTACTGAGATCTGACCTGCAGATGACAAGTCTGCTGCATGTCTCTCAAGCTAGTAAGAATGTACTGTTTGTCCATTTTTACCAATAACTGTGTTCATGGAAGTTGTTTTCATTGTTGACTTCGACTCTCCCTGCCCACAACCCCCATCCCCACACCACCAAAAAAAAGCGTTTTTCATACTGGCAAAATTACTGGCAGAGAAGTGCTGGATCTCCATCTGATTTTGACCCCGTGGAAGACATTATGCATACAAGTACTTAATAGCTAAGAAATTGCCTTGAAGATTTTGTCACACAGGTGTCAGGAACACGGTGTGTACCCCACAATACCCAGCACAGCTGGTGCCTGAACGCTGCCGAGATGATGCTCAGAAACAGCAGAGTCCCCTCATTCACTCCAATATTGGGTCCAACATAGCTTTGTTACACCCTTTTCTGTTTAAGATTACCCATATTTTGCTCTATATTTGCAAAACAAATCAGCCTGGAAGGCATGACAGGTTCTTTTCTTATGATAAGGGGGTTTAGTTTTCTTAATAGACACCCCCTTCATGCAAATGCAGCACAGATTCCAATCCCAGTTAACTGGGAAACGCCACAAAAGTAAAACACAAAGGTTTTAGTCTGTTTTAGTGTTTTAAAAGCAAATGGAATCATTTGGGAGAGAGCAGACATCTCACACGTTGTGTGTAAAAACCTGGAAAAACATTAACTAGTACAGGGTTATTTTTTCTATATTTTACTAGAAAAAATTTGCGTGTGAAAGACCTATTGATGTTACTCTGAATAATCAGGAGACATCTGTCTATTCAATGAGTAAGTCACAGAAGTGTCACAAAAGTTTCAAAACTTACAGTTTCAGTCCAAAATTCATTTTGGAGACTCTTTTTTTTTCTAAAGCAAAATATAAAGCACATTTTGAATAACATATTAACTGAATATCTTAAAAGTAGTAATTAAAGGTTTGTCTTTCATACCTTCTCAGGACCAGGTTCCATATTTCCTGACATCAGCTCAGAAGTCAAGGGTATGATGCTTTTCTACTTGAAAACTGTGATGTAATCTTTATTACTCAGTGGGTCCAGTATTTGGAGGATGTTTAAGTGCTGCTGAGAAATAAGCAGTTTTTGGCCTTTATAGCAGCTATATCAGACTGGAAAGTTCTGCTGTGAGCCTTAGTGAAAACAAAGGTATCCAGGAACAGATTTATCTTCTTTTTTGTAGCCATTCTTAGTGGTGATAGGTTAGTGATATCTTGGGCTATTTACTTTATTTAAATAGTACTTCTGCTGGTTTCCAAGTTTTCATAAATACTTTCCATTTTTAATATTGTTAATATGGGGAAAAATGATGACTTTGGCTTTTCTAGATGTCGATGTGTTATGCGCTCTGTCAAGTCTGTAAGGTTACATTAGCATCCCTTCAGAACTACTACTGAGTTCATCTCTGTAACACTATTGAACTGTTTGTTATTAATTACAGATTTCTTTAAAAAAATACTTTTTAAATCAGGCATTTAGCATTCTTCCAGAGCTAATAGATACAGCAGAGAAATCAATTGTTCATGACATCTCCTCTCCGTGATCACATCTAACACTTGATACTGAAGTATTTAAAGCTGACAATGGCATAAACTAGAAAGTTGATTTTATTTTCCAGTGAATTTTTCTAAGTCATGTGCAACATGACTCAATTTTGCTTTAATGTGTAAAAATAAGTAGCTTAAACATTAATTTCCATAGTAAATAAACCAATGGTTCCACTTAAAAACCCTTCAAGCTTCTAGGAATTCCTATAGTCAGTTCAAGGTTAAGAAAAAAACCAACAAACTAAGCCCAACTTAGAAATTACTATTCCTGTAACTGAATCCTTTCTTTTCTGAATGTCTTGCCTTGTTGCTGTGAAGTTTGCTCAAATACAGCTTCTACACATCATACTTTTTGACAAACGTTACATTTTCTGCTCTTTTTTTGAGCATTTAAATGCCTATTTCATACCCGTTAACACTCACGTGTTGGGGGCCGGGATGTTGGCTTTGCAGAAGTGATGAAGAGCCCAGCAGGAAGATGGGGGTGATTAAGGGAAGGTGATAAGAGTTGCATTTCTATTACTTTCTGTTCAGCTCTGGCATCAGAGTTGCAATACAGGTTTGATATTGCTGTTCCCTTGACAAACTGTCAACACCTTCCCTACTATATATTTTATTTAAGAACTCACTGCCTGCGAGACTCAAATCTGTTGCTACATGCACCTGTAAAAGCCAGATATAAAACCCTGGGACTGGAACGACTTTATGCCAACACAATATGCCAATTATTACTTTCTAATACAGAATATTTAGGTAATGTCTAGTAAAACTTGGAAAGGGATCTGTCTGTTACTTACAGCCTGTCTGAAGCTGGAGGATGCCGCGTGCTAAGTGTGCCTTTATGAACTGGGATTAGTGGGGGGTACTGTGCTGAGTGGCTTTGCAACAATTGAATGAAATTGCACATTTTTTTTGCGGCCACACGTAACTTCCCCGTTTGGGGTTGCAGCGTGGCACTCGGTTTATTTGCTCAGCATTTATCTAGGAAATAAACTGCTAAGAAACCTGCAGCTGTCTGCGATGATGGAAACTCTTGGTAACTGCGCAAGCGTGTTGTAGGTGTATTTATGTCCTTTCATGTATGCCTTCATTGGCCAAAGGATCTGCGTGCTGTGATTTTTAATAAAAGACTTTTGCTGTACAGGTGATGGCTTGTTCTATGGAAGGAAAGATACAAGCGTGGTTATTTTATTATGCCTCTGAGAGGCACAGAGAATTGGCTATAGTCCTGGTTTATGTTTAAAAAAAAACCCCAGAATACTAGCAGCATTCTGATGAAGAATTGAAAATATTTTGCTGTACAGGTGATGGCTTGTTCTATGGAAGGAAAGATACAAGCGTGGTTATTTTATTATGCCTCTGAGAGGCACAGAGAATTGGCTATAGTCCTGGTTTATGTTTAAAAAAAAACCCCAGAATACTAGCAGCATTCTGACGAAGAATTGAAAATATTTTCAGTATAACATCTGTTCAAATCATTTCCACACTTCAGACAGTTTAAATAGCACTGACTTTCTGCTGATGAAGTTGCAGGTCCGTTCTCTTTAAAATGAGAGTGTTCTTGCTGCTGCTGCAGCTGCCAAAACCATGGAGGAACATTTTGGGCTCCAGCCCAGAGGAACACCTCTGTTTTTAGCTAAATAAACCCGTCTCTTCAAACGCAGAAGGACAAGATGTCTCCAAGTAAGACCAAGTTGTTGGGAAGCGTCCTGGGTTCTCACTAGCACTTCTTCAATTCCATATTGGAATTTTCCTCGGAGGTGTTTGTAATAAAGCACACTCGGAGGAGAAAACCCAAAGTCATTTTCCCTTGTGGCACTGGGATCTCAAAGTGTCAGTGTCACCTCTGACGCACGGAGAGCTTTGCCAAATTTAATGCTTTGCTCTCCATATCGATTTGTTCCCAAGCAGAGAGCAAAAGGTACACGTCTTCCTCGCCCTTTGTCAGCATTTAACTCACCTGCCCAGTGACATTTGTTTTAAGAGTTTATATTGGCTGCATTCGCTGCGGTGGAGGCACAGACAAGTAATAATAAAAACACTTCTCCGGTGCATTAGTAACTTGGAAACACTAAGGTCTGATGAAGATTTATTTAAACTAGAATTAAGATTGCAACACAATGTTCTTTGTGCTCTTTCACTGAAATCAAAGACGTCTCAGGATCTACATATTTAGAAATTCACAGTAAGGATGCAGCTAACCTCTAAAATTAGCACATCTGAAGCAGCTTATGATTTGTGTTTTCCCCCACTATGCGAAAAAACAGCATTTTTCAGGTGTCACCCCTGATGTACTTTCTACAGAAGGTAGAAGATGACACAGCAGAAGGTAGAAGACCTGGAAAGCCATGTCCAAGGAGTTTAAGTGAGGAGAGGAAGAGTCCAGAGAGCCATTTCCTTGAGACAGACCATTGACGTCGCATTCTCCTTCAGAGTAACAGACACTTTTATCTGCGTAGTTAATTCAGGACTGTGGTAAGCCAAATAGTAAAATGTATGTCTCGTAAGATATTTATAGGCACAGTGCTAAGTAAGCATATGCATGCTCATTTTGAGAAGCACAGCTCTGAAATTTCTCATCTACAGGATGGAACAAGGAAGTATTTCAACGCTCTGGAATTTTTAAGACAAGCCAAGGGACCGTATGGAGCAGGGGGTCTGATTCCACACTTGTACCCTGGCCCGTAGGCCGTAATTAAATTCAGAATTTCATACTCACCTCATTGCAGCAGCAGCGGTGTGGAGCTTTAATTAAAATTCACAAAGCACTACCGTTGCCAAAGAACACATGCAGTCTCCCCTTTTACTGAAATAGCAAGTCCAACGGTAAATCAAGTTAAAGAACTCCTGTCAATTCCAAATGCCGTAGTTCAACATTAAAACCACACTTGACCAGAGTCCTAACTTGTCCCCATTAGCAGCCTTGTGTAGATTTGGGGGCCAACACAAGCATAAGTCAGCAGATCCTTTATTGCTTTTATTCTTGTGCTGAAGTCGTTTCAATCATCCCAGCTCTTACCCACAAACTAATCCTAAATCCCTCCTTTCAAAAGAGCCGTGCCAGAACCACGCAAATCCAACAGATTTCCATCCTCTTTGTGACAGCAGAATTAAGCCATCTGACTGTCCCCTCTTTCCACCTGTAGCATCTCCCAGTCAGGAATACCCAGGCACCCTTGGCAGGTTGTCAGTGGGTTATGGGAGAAATTGTCAGCATTTAGGTCTAAAAAGATTCGATCCTCAGATGGGTTTGCACTGAGTGCTGAGGTGATCAACCCCACAAGAAGAGAGAAGTGAGATAAAGCTAAATGGGTCACATCAGCTGAAGGTTTGCAGTTAATGCACACCACCAGATAGTCAATAGGAGCTGTCAGAGAAGCGTGAAAGCTTTTTTCCCCCTTTTCCCCCATAACACAGCACTTCAGAACAGACAAGCAATACACTACTTCTGAATCTGAATGTCTCCTCTAAATCCAAACTCACTCTCCTTTGCCCAACTGTTGTTAGAGGAGCACCGGTCAAAGACCTGAGAGCCAAAACAAGCCTCCCGACTCAGTCAGCTTACCTTTTTTCCAGGAAAAATTGCAAATAAAAGCTGTTTACCCAACGTGACTTCTACAAGATGATGTCAGTTACCACAGCCCAAACACACTTCACACCAAAAAACCCCTCTCAGAGCTATTTCTGTTGCTTTTATAATGACCAGCTGGTCCTCACCTCGTTTCTGACCCCAGGGAACCAGCTGGGAAGCAACAAATCAGCTACAGATGAGGATCAGGCCCAGCTTTTTTTGTTAAAGGGACACCCCCCCCGTGGGTATCATCCATCTATTTTCCCTGATACCATTAAAATGTGTATTCCAATTCTTTTAAAATGTATTCTCATCCAAATTTACGTATAAGGAACTCACTTCCTTTTGCATCTTGCCTAAAAAGATTTAAAATAAGACCTTTCTTCCATTTTTTTTTTCATAAATAGTTCAAAATAGCTTTCAATTTTGTTATTGAAGCAGACCTTTGAAGCAAGATCATCTATTTGGAACTCTCTCTAGTTTTCTTGTTGACTTGCACTGTACAATTCAGTCACTAGATGTCATTATCTGCCTTTAAAAGCACAGGACGGGATGTGTTCTTTGATTAAAAAAAGGACTCAAAGCAGTATTGAAAAGCAGTTGTTTCTGACTAAAATCGAGCTGTGTTCACTCCTAAGTAACTGCTATTTAACACAGACTCAACTGGGTGATCGAAGAGGAAAGGAAAAAAGTTTTCCAATTCAGAAATGGAATTCTGAAGGAATTATTGAGGATGGATGGAATCAATGTGTTGCTCCGTGTAATTAATTGATAACTATTGATAACACACACCCAGATTTTAAAGACAAACCTTTGCAGAAGCCCACAAAGCCCCCCAAAATGGAGAAAACAAATTAACTAAAAATGATGAGCCACATCTTGATCACTATGGTAGTGAAGTTTAGACACATTTTGGAGACTACATTAACATGGGATTACGGCAGGATAACTCACTGCGCCTGTTATGGAAAAACATGCAGCTATGATTTGCTGAAATCTTTGGATGGCTTTTTCTTGTCTATGTATGTTTGTGGTTAAACTGGCCAAAAATTTTACATCAAAGGACTTTGTTGTTTGGGGAGAGGGCTGGCAGGTGGAAGAGAAATAGCTTTTCAATGAAGTGGACATTTTTTATAGAAGAAGCCAAAACAACCCCAAATCCCCAGTCCCCATCCCTCCACCCCTTACCCTCCCCCCCTTTCCCCCCCCCCCTTTTTATTTTTTCTTTTTATTATCAGTTTCAATGAAAACATGGGAAAAAATGTGGAGACATCTAAACTCTGATTCATGTTTTGATGAAGAGTCGAAAAGCCACAAGCCCGCCCATCCATCTCCCGCTGCCCACTGTTTGATGGTCCCTCTGGTCCTGATTTCTGGGGACGCCAAAGCAATCCTCTGCCCAGCCCAGCAGCTTCAGCGAGTTGGCAAGGAGACTAAAGAACCTCTAGTCACTTCAGGCCACAAGCCCCACCTTCTGGTGGCCTGTGTCATTCCCTGCTTTGCTTGACAGCCAAGATCCAGGGACTACAGCATCTGGTTGCTTTCCAGGCAGCGGGATGATGAGCTGTCTTGAAAGCTAAAGCTTTGGACAAGAAGAGAAGTTCCACACGAAGAGCCTCTAGTGTAAAGTGCACCACACATAAGCCACGGAGGGGACTGGAAAATTAATAACACTGTCTTTTATTAAATAAATGAAAAGGTTGTTGTTGTTGTTGTTGCCAGTGATCAATTAATTTGGGACGGTGCCAAAGGGCTCCTCGTGGCTTTGAAGCATCGTAGCACAAGACACTGCAAAAACATTTATCCAGAACAGATCCTAGCCACAAGAGTTACAAATATTTACTTTATATATTTACTTTAGGGAAGGGCTCAAGCCAGAGATAGTAGATCTTGATTGCAAACATACCAGCAATTGAGGTGCTAAGAACCGGAGTTTTGGGTCTAATCTCTCTGATCTTATCTTGTCTAATATATTTGTCTTTCTTTCCATGCCTTGACCTCAGTAAAACAAGTGTTCTACGCACTGGAAAATCACTCATAAATATTCTGTGCTGAGCTCCAGGCTCTGCTGGGACCGAGGAGGCCAGGAGCTAACCCAGACTTAGATAAGTTTCGGTATCTTTTGTAGTTCCTTAGATGTTTACACTGCACACTTGTTTGTGCAATTTTCTCAGCTGTCTCTGCCCTGATTTGCAGCTCGTCTCTCCTGGTCCCCAGCAAGTGGCTTCCTTGCTGAGTTTGGCTGGGAAGAACATTAGTGGAATCTTCAGGCTTTTCTTTACCATTCCTCATCCCTGGTTTCGTTGGGACTCCTGGCTAGTGAGGTGTTTGGTGGGGTTTTATCTTTCCTTTCTGATTTGCCTTCTAGCATCCTATTCTGCAGAGTTTGTCAGGCTGGGGGGGTCATCCAGCTGCAGCTTCTTGCCCATCGTGGAGAGCAACGGATGGCTCCCCACAGCAGGGGAAGGCTGTAGAGGGACAGAGAGGAGAGAGTCCCTCAAGGAGAAGTGACCGAATGGCCAAGGGAATTGGCAAAAGGGAGAAGAGCTCCTGGTGATGTGCTGTGAAGA